CTTGTTAGAGCAAAAATCATCTATGAGACTTCATTCAAAACAAATCCCCTGCCAAACTATTTCTTCCTTTTCATTTGGACAGTTATCCTTCTGATAATTTATAAGGAAAAAAATCTTTTGCTGTCTAGTTCAACCTTGTAAAGAGGACAGCATCAGTCTGACAGCAGTGTAAACAAAGAGATTCGCAGTCTTAGCAGTGCTAGAACATACTGGGCAGATTTTCATTGCATATGGAGGAAAAACAGCAATACTGCAGTAGTTCAATGGAAAAAATTCCTCAAAGATATGGTTCATTCTCATCATAAACAATTTCCATATATAAAGAGGACTTTTTCAGATGCAGTTGCATTATTTTAAGCCCTCCTTCCCTGCCACTATTAATAAATTGCACCCTAATGTATTGCATCTACTGGTATTAGTCATGACTACACCTACTGTCTGTAATGGGATGCCATTCATCAGCTTGGTAATTTTCCTGGAAACTGTTTCTCAGCATCATCATTTGATCCACTGTAGTTAAAAAGCCATGTCATTGGTTGCATTACAAATTCCATTTTACAGTCTTTTTTTTTTTTTTTTTTTCATAAATTAATTGTAGCTTTCCTCTAGGCTTAATGCTGGTATAAAAGGTTTTGGCTGATGAGCAAATATTTTCCAAAGACAAGAATTTTCAGTTCTATCATTTTTAAATAACAGTGGCATAAAAAAAAAAATCACTGGAACAAACTTGTTTAAGTCAGCTACACAAATGAAAGTTGACAAGTGATTAGCTCCTTCTGGGAATGAATTGTTGTCTATGTTTTAGGGGAAAAAATGTCATCCGTGACTTTGGAAGCGGCCTGAAGCATGGGTTTTGGAAGTCTAATACTATAAATATCAGTTTAAACAATTACATACTTAAGCAATTGTTGTAACATGGAGTTGGCATGACAAAGCGCAAACTTCAAAAAACCACCATCTCTTGTAAAACGCAAGCAGGATGCATACATACTTGTAAAAACTCAGCAATGTAATACTAGTAATTGTATTAGCCATCCTGAAGGACCGGCAACAGTGAAGACATTGGTTCCTACCTTTAAAATTTAAGCATGGTATATTGAGCCTCTAGGGCAGTTCACACTCACCTTGCAGAGTGGAAGTAATTTAAATTACTTTTGCTGGTTGTCCTGGTCCCTTCTCTTTCCATCAGATGAAAGAATAAGAAGGGATCTTTTTTTGCTGGCTTCTACTTAGAGAAGACAGAGTTAAAACTGAATCTGTATTATTCTGCTTCTCGCTGGCTATGTCAAAGTCCCATCACAGTAAGACCCATTTACACCTGTTCCTCTGATTTCTCACACTCTAGTTTCCATGGAAAGAAAATTTAGGACTGTGTACTGGGTTAGAGATGCAGTGCAATTGATTGGACAGGTTCCTCAACTGGACAAACGGACGCTATCACATACAGAGGCAGATATAGGCTTTAGCCTGCTCCTAGAAACAGGGGGATTTGGCTGCTGGTGATCATTATTTCCTTCCTAGACCACATGGCAGGAAACTTTTTTTTAAACAATCTAATCACATCATCTTGGATCACAGTCCATATAATGTATTCAAAGTTAACAGAGTATTTCAGAGGTGACAGCTTCAAGTCTGCCTACAGGTAAGACCCCACAACTTCTTACGCAGTGCATCTTCCTACCCGATCAATCAAAATTATCTCACGAATTCTCATACACTCCTATGACAATTTTGACAATTTATAGTCCAAGCCTGCAGGTCAATCTTACATATTTTTTTCTCTGTGAAGCAACATATTTATGCTACTTGTTTTTTGGATTCAAATCCACTGAATTGTTATCTTGTGGGAAACTACTTGCTGTGGGCATCTTATCAATACTAGAGTGTTCCTGTATGTGAGAATCACAAGAATAAACTTCTTAAAATCTGAGCTAAAAGACAGAGAAAAGTGGACAAAGTACATTCATTTTAACACTCTACACAATTAAAATATTGGACCTAAGCAGATTTTAAAGGGTCTCAAATCCTCCCTCAGATTAGAAAAGGAATCCAGGTTGACAAGTCTCTGCTCATTCAAACATATGATTTGGATGAGGAGTGGTGCGCTCTTGAGACTCTTCAGTAAAACTAAGCTTTTGAAGTCAGTCATAACACTGCCCTTAATTTCGGGCATGAGAGCAAGTTCTGCTTGTTTTTCGCTTTTTTCACTTAGCAAACTGACTCATCTCACAGGGAAGACAGGATCTGCAGTGCAATGTGCCACGTTCCTATAGTATTTGCCAGGATGTAGTGGTCATGACATTTAAAACTAAGATGATAACAGGGAGGAACACATCACTCTAGCATGAAATGAAGATCAACAGAAGTTGAATAAAAAGAAAAGGAAAAAAGAAGAGTCTATAAGTTCATATGAAAAATAATAAGGATTAAAGATAGCCTCCAGCTAGTGGGAAATGGTTCAGGCACCACAGAATAAATTTTATAGCCCTATGGGCCTCTCTGAAGATTTGCGCACTTCCTCTCCATGATGAATACTACTATTCCAAGAAATACGGCTTGTAGAACTTGATTTCTAAGTTAACATTGTGTTACAGGGTAACTGTGATTAGGCAATCCGTGATGTAGAAGTTCAGAAAAAAAGCTATATTCTTCAATAGCAAAAGAAAAATACAGCAAGATCTGGGAGAACACTAGTGGACTTTTTTTTTTTTTTGAATACATAGCTTTATGCAATAGAATTAGGCAGAGATTTCCAAGAAATTTTTATGTCTCACTCCTCATCCTGGTTGGTTACACTCAGAAAATCTGCTCACTGTAGAGATAATCCTTTCCATTCAATATCTTCCCTCACACAGCAGCTGGCTTACTTGGTTGAGTAATTATTTCTCCTGTTCTGTGGTACAGGTATCAGACAGCTGAAGTCACCAGTGCAGAAGACATAATAATCAGATCATTAGACTTGACACTTACTTCATACTCCTCTTTGAATCCATAGCCTTCTGCACACTTCATTTGGGTGATGTGCTGTAGCAAGTCAGCTACACGGATGGCTGGATGAAGCTGTCCAGTCTGGTAGGGGACATCCACTGGATCTCGCTTCTTGTAGGTATGGGATTGGACCAGGCTGCTTGTGTCACTGACCATCGTATGGGTTTCATCTAGAAAAGAGTATCTCATAATGTACTGGCTCATTTTCACTCATTAATAGAAATATAAATTGCACAGATTTCGAGAGGAACAGTAGAAATCTGACACCATCAGTATTGCTTCTGTCTGTGAAGGCTACACCAGAAAAACAGCAAATCCATGGAGCAGTTTACACAGGGAAATTGCAAGACTGATTGGAATGAGGCAAAGTCCATGGTTCTACAATGGAAGCATTGCAGAGCAGTCCGAACTCTAATATTGTTTTAAATATCTCTAGCTGATTACAAACAGGTTTTAAATTAGGCATTTGGTTCTAAACTGCATAGAAGTTTCATTCTGAAACTTCAACAAGTCCCATGGAATGAAACTGGACTTGTATTCTTCTTAGATTACTGAAGTGCTATATTTTACACTGCAAATTTAGAGCAAATGTTTGGAGTGAGCAAAATAAAAAGATGCACAAAATGGCTTATGGTTTCATCAAGCTAGGACTGCAATGGAAATGTAGATCTGATACAATGTTTGGAGACAAACTACGAGAGGACAAATGCAGAGGATCATCTGACCAGGAAAAATGTCTTGACTGGCTGCTGAACATGCTTTAGGACCACGATATATCATGAGCCATCACATTGGGCATGAAATGTTATATGTCAGCTGACATGCAAGCCAACAAACAGGAGAACCCAGTGGGCTGGTTAAATTTTTTACGAGACACATACTCTCCCAACCCTCCACATCTCTTCCATGGGGCAAATGGGCAACTTACCATTGATTGGCACTTTTAAGAAGATACATATCAGGAGAAAAAAAGAGGAGGAGAAAAAGGAAACAGGGCATAAGCAACAGTACTACATTAATAATGACAGGTAATTTCATGTTTGTAATTTAGTCTTTACAGAGTGTTTTCCTAAATGAGTCAGATTCTGATCTCAGTTTCACAGTATAAATTAAATATATTGATACCAAGGTATCTTACTGTGAGTCAATTCACACTGATGCAACTGAGATCAAAACTTATACTTAGCAGTAAATAGACAGATGTGAAAGTGCACTCTTCCTAAGGAATCAATATGAATTTCTTCCTGTTTAGATGGAATTTCAAAAAATTGTTCAGACTTCACAAGAGAAAAAAAACAACCCAAAGTCTAAGGTCCAAGTATCATCATAAATATTTTTTCCGTTTACTCAAATAATAATTTTACGTATCTCAAAGAGTTTTGATTTTTTAACTCAAATGGCAAATGTGGTGCTTTGACTTATTCAAACTAATCCTCACTGGCTGCACACTAAACATAGCAAGGGATTTATAAAAATACTATATTTATTTAAAAATGTTACTTTGTAAAATATGTTGTATGAAAGGGAAGCATTAAAATAATACTTCCACATTCATAAATTAGCTATATTACAGCAGAAAGTTCCACAAATCCTATAGATGAAAAGGTCCCAGATTCTCATGTACACACCAAAAATACTACCACACCTCATTAAAGGAGAGATTCTGGTCTTAGTTGTACCACTGAAAAATGATGTTAAAGCCACAAAGCCTAACGAATCGTATTTCAAGGATGGTTTTAGGTTCTCTCAATTAACACTGATACTAAGACACCTGAAATCTAGTCCTCAGTAAGCATAAAGTCAATATGAACTGTGCATTTACATCTAAACCAAAATGAACAGAGAAAAGTGTATGGGTATAAGTATGACCACTTCCCTACTTTTCCTGTCAGTTTGCTAACCCGATCTAATGCAGAGGAAAGGGATTCATCTTTTAGTCATGAAATTTGACAACTTTTGTTTAATGTGTGATAAAATTGTACTGCAAAGCACCTTGGGATGCATGGTATGAAGCGTGGTATACAAGTGTAGGTACAGTATGTTGCTGTTGAAATGGCACCTGAAAACTACAAGGTGGCTAAGACACAAAAGACAAAAAAAGGTGTAGAAGTTGCTCATGATTTTTTGGGTGGCTAATTTCAATTTTAGAAACAGATTAGAAAACTCTTAGTAACTAAGACGAAGGCAAAGTTATCATATAGAGGGTCTTGTGCTATGAAAGCAGCACTTAAATCCTTATGAATCTCTTTCCTATGAGCTCCTTTGTTTTAGACTAATTTTCCTCTCTCCATTTCTTTATCTCTTATAGCTGCATTAATATTATTTTCCTCTCTTTGGGAGTGATCTTTAGTGTTTTCAGTCCTTGGTTTATATGGTACACTAGGAGCCACGTATTTTATAGTTTTTTGCTTTGCCTTTAAGCACTGTAGCGTGAGCATTTCAGACATAACAGTTCACTGTTTTTCAAAGGGTTAGCTCCTCCAGATGCAGTGTTCATATGCAACCGGAAGTTTATCCGGCTTAAATACTCCTACAGCTGCAGCTCTACTCTCCACTTACTCATTCCATAGAGCTGTACAACAGCTATAAAATAACATATTTATTTACTAGGTATATGAACTTAAAGCATGGAAGGTATCTGGAAACCCAGCCCAATTATCTTTTCTGGGCTGAGACTCTTCCTTCTCCAGTTTCAGAAATATGCACACCGCTGATACTACACAAACATGACCTACACTTATGCTCAGCAACTATCAATTTAGCCACTGTTATGTAAAATGTTTTTTTAAATCTCAGGCTTTCATGTAGGTTATTAGGCTAAGCATTAAAGTTTTCCCTCAAATTTAAGAAAATTTTCTCATATCTGAAACTGAGAAGTCATACTGTTGCCTTTTGTGTCATTTAAAGAGTATCAGTCTTTTTTTTTTTTTAATTGACTAAGAAGTTCCTAATTTGCATGAATAGTCTAAAGATCTTGCTGTACATAAATTTGGAAATAATAAGTGTGTTGTGGCCTTTCTAGCAGATTTTGAAAACAAAACTCAACCATTCACCAGAACTGTACCCTTCCCAGGAGGTCACACTGAAAAGTTCATTTAGTTCCAACTACAGGCTTGACCCTAGAGTCTACCATAAGTTTGTTGGACATTGGAAGACAGCAAGAGCAGGTATTAATTGCATTTAAAACCCAGCACTTTTTGTTAATAGCTATATTCCTCTACCTACTTAAGCATAGCTAATTTGATTTACCTCAGATAAAACACTTACTGTACAGACAGTCATAAACACATTTTGAGAGAGAGACCTGGTCTGAATGGAACAGCACTCATAAAAGAGTACTTAACTTTCAACATGTAAGGTTAGAAAAATATTCATTTTCCACAGTGAAATAACTGGAAGATTTTCTGAGATGAATAAGCACAGGTTGCTGTAGTAGACCATAAAATACATACCTGACTAATTCAAGATGATACAGACCTAATAAAAGCAAAGAATTTTTTTTCCCAATGTGTGTCTGATATCTGAATTACTTGCTTAGAGATTATTTCTTGTGGAAAAAAAAGTTAACAAATATTTTACCATCATTATTATATAGCAAAGGATCACAAAAAAAATCAGAGAAACTATTAACTAAAACTTAATAATCCAGACAGGAAATCGCAAAGTTTTTCTCCTGATAATAGTACTTTTCTCCTTGCCCACCCACAAGGTCAGAAAGAACATCTACTGGATGAAGCACTGAATGAATGCTAAAGCACACAAAAAAATCTCACATCTCAGGCAGTTAAAAGGCCCTGCAAATTTCATTTGCATGCAGATTATTACATTGTTACAGTTACTACCATTGCCTTCTTCTGGATTTACATAATGCATAAAACCGCACAAGTTCCTTCTCCAAGTTATCACACTGAAATGCTCTGTGCTAAATATTCTTTCACAATAACAAATTTTCAAGATCACCTTTGTAAACTTCTACTTCTTATATGCTTCACTCTACTTTTACTTAAGCCTGTTTAATTTACGGTTTAAAAGCAGGAATCAGTTAAGGGGTTGTATTTTTTTTACAGCAATTTGAAGAAAAAGGAGGAGAAAGAAAAATATTTGTTGTAAAAATATGAATCATTGAAAAAAGAGTAAATAGATAGGCTTAACACTGGAGTTTGAATTCTTGCTACAGTGCAGTGATATATTTCGATTTATTATTTTTAAAAAATCTCTCTGTTTAGTTTAAAGTTAGTATGGGAAGGAGGTGTAAATGAATACAAGCCACAAAGCGGTTAGAGTTACTTAAGCACTGAAAATGCAATAGCGCCTCATGCTTATTGTTATCACTGTGCAGAAACCTCTCTCTTCTTGACATTGGACAATAGCACATTTTCCTAAATTCCCAGTGGAAATGTATATTTTAACCTACAGTTCTACCATTTCACTTTGTTCCTGTGACACCTGATGCATACAAACTGTATACTTTAAGTGCCATGTTATCATTTTGCTTTTCGAAATGCCATCTCTCCTCTGAAACTTCACTTTGACAAGTATGTCAGAAACTGTGCAGTATTGTGAGAAGAAACTATAGCTGGTGGATGGCCAAAACTGTATTTTGTTTGATTTTCTGCATCATGAATAGTCTAATTAGAAAAAACCACATTATTTTTAAGAAGTGACATCTTCAGTTCTAAAATAAAATGGAATAAAATGAGGGAAACTATTTCAATTGCTGCAATAATCAAATTCTTTTGTGTCACTCCAAATACATGCATAAACATTTCCTCACAAATCCACTTGTTAAAATTATTTCTCTCTTTTCTCCCCTGACTTGCACTATGACAGTAGTAATCAGTCTGATAACTGTCCTTAGCATTCTCAGTGTAGCCAAGCCCACCACCCCTCCCTTTAGCATAAAGCTCCAGCTTTTTGCATACTATTGTCCGTACCCCGAGAACTGTGACTTTCTAAATTATTTCAGCAATAAACTTTGATAAAGGGAAATGTTCTCACCTAAAATTGCAGTTGGCACAAATGGATCTGTCATACATCATAAGCAGGTCAATGCAGAAAAGGTAAAAAGAGAGAGAACAGTAAATGATTGATAAATGTTCCTGAGTTTTCTTTCACAAAGCTACTGTAAGCAACCAGTGTGTGGCTTATATACATACTGAATTTCCATGGCAAGAAGTATAACCACCTAATTATATACACTTTTATTATGAAAAGGTCTATATAGGGTGGAAACCAAGAAAAAAGTTGGTTACCTGGGTAATAAGAATTAGGCACTGTTGTGCTCAATGTGTTAGTTTTCATTGTAAATGAAGATGGTGAAGATACAGCTGCAAAGAGAAACAAAGCTGGTTAGAGACAGTGAAGTGGTATGTGGCTATTTCAGCTGAGCGATACAGTGTATGTGATTAACTTGGTTTAGAGTCTGTCCTGTTGTGTTCATTGCACTGGAATCAGGACCTAGGGAAAAACAGGTCTGTTTAGGGAATAAAATAGCTCACTGAATGTGATCAATTCTCTAAAATAAAACGTCATCAGAGAAAGCGTTTTGATCTGTGATGACAAAATCACTTCTTAAATCACGAGATTAGACTGAATATTGATGCTTGAATAAAGATATCCCAATGACAACGTGTTTTTGACAGAAGCTTTGATCATTAGTAAGTTTACTTAATAATACTGTAAATACTGTATGCAAATATTCTACTTTAGTTCATTTTTTCCTCTCTTTTTTTTTGATTTCTTCAGATAGGTGGACAGTGTGTACACTGATACTATCATGCTCTGAATATTACTCCTTGTTTAAGAGTGGTTATGCTTGCGTTGGTATGTAATCATTTAATAATTTGTAAAACCTATGGGAAAGCCCAAAGCAACAAATTAAGTTGAGTTAGTTCCCTGGTATACAAAGATCATGTGAATTGCCACTGTAAGCACAGATACATTCAACAGGTGTGAGCTAATCACAACGTTTTACGGGATGTTCAACCAAAGAGTCATTAAGGCTTTTAAGTAAAGCTTATTGCAATTTCAGTCTGAGTTGCTTGTCTACACAGCTCAAATTCAGTTGCATCAGTGAATGTAAGCACATTCTGGATACGTATAAACAAACAGGAGCTTGTGAAACAAAAGTAGAATTGAGGAAGACAGGATCTGCTGGATGAGAAGGAATGAGATTACACCTGCTGGCTTTCATCTCTTTTTTTTTGGTTGATCTTCTAGGGCATGCAGTTGCCAGCCCTTATTAAGATGGAGATGTCTGAAAACTGGCTTCAATAATGCTGGCAGTAATCGCTTATCCTAGAAATGAATATATCTGAGATACTTTCCTTTGACTATGTCTCCTGAATCACTGGATGGAAAGAACAGAGTGGTATTCCTTTTGGTGTTGGATGCAGAGATTAGTTGAGGTCAGGGCTCCTGCAGCTAATAAAACTGGCGAGATACAGAATGCAGCCAGGATAATAAACTTTGATAGGAAGTAGGAATGTTCTAAATCTCTTGAGTACAAGGCCTTACACAAAGATTATTATTAAAGACTATTAGACTGCTTATTCTGGTCTAACTAGAGGTTCTAGCCCTCAAGTGGTATAAAACACTTGCCATGCCAGTAATTTCAAAATGGTTTAAAGTGGTTTATATAAAGAGAATTTAGTCCCAGGAACTCATTGCAGCTTCTTTGGTTTCTACGACCATTCAGAAACACCATTGGAAAACTACATCATGATGACAGAAGACGAAGTCAAACCTCTTGATCTCTTCACAGAAGTAAGCAATTTCACTAACTGCAATGGTATATTTTCACCAGAAAGGCAAGTCGAATTTTGAAAGATTTTTTCCAAAGCAATTTCAAAAGTAACTCAAGCGCAAATTAACATTGCAAATTCTGAGCCTAATGCTGCTGAGAGAAGTCTCACTGTATAAACCTCACAGAGTGTTTGTACAATTGAGCTCATCAAAGATAAGTTCTTAAGCATGTTATTAAAGAGTGGGAGTTGGGCCTGGCATACTCTTAGTATTTGAAACAAAATTCAATCTTCGACAAATTCTGAAGATATTAAAAAACACTGGCATACAAGGAAAACAGAGGTTCCTTAAGAACTACAAAAAAACAAGAAAGTATTTTGAACATAGTAATTGTTTTTCATTCTTTTTAGCAATTATAAAAAGCTACTGTTTTTCCTGGGCTTTGCTTAGTGCTAACCCTCTGACAGGAGTGAATCCTTGACTAAAATTCTAATAAAAGAAATTTTATATCCCAAATTTTATTTATTTTCAGGGTAGATCCAAGAAGACCCAGGATATTAGAGAATCTCTTATGAAACTGAAGAACAGATAATTCCACTGAGTTCTTCCTTTGTACAGGAAAGATAAACTAATAAGACAATCAGATCACCATTATTAAGTTGTGACATTCGAAAATAAATTTCACTTACAAAAAGGAAGTAAGCAAGGGAAGCATTTGAAGGACTTGGGACAGTATGAGGGATATAAAATTTTTAACATAATAGAAATTGGAGAAAAGTAAAACTACAGCTGTTTCAGTAATGTCTTTGCTCTTCTGCAGAAGAAAAGGAGGGACAGAAAAAAGCTCAATTATCTTTATTATTTTTAAAGAAGTCTATTCTTGATGTCTGACTGTCTTGCTTATTCGAATACACACTGTAATATGCTGCACAGTGGGAAACTCTGGGTCCCATGGATTTTCCATGACTGAGTAATGAGGAATATTTTAAAAACCATTTGCACCTTTCTTCCACCTGCCAAAAAAAAAAAAAAAAGAGAAGAAAAGAAAAAACTTACATCTCCCATTTAGATTGTGCGTGTCCATGAAAGAGAAAGCTTCATCACAGTTGGTGCCTTGCTCAGTGTAGCTTTTATCCATTGAATTCACCATCACTGTCATTTCCTGCCGTGTACTACTCAATGTCTCTTTCCGCTTTTTAGCCAATTTTCTTAAGAAATGGATGTTGAGAAAAAAAAAGAAGAAAAAAAACAACACTCAGTGAGCAGACATAGTCTTCACGTTGTTTAGATCAGTACTGTAGTTTGTAACGACATTATTAAGTAGCATATTTACAATTCCTGCATTTCTGGAAACTTAAATTGATTTCACACTCATGTCTTTCAACAGCATCTGATAATCAAGGGATAGTTGCCAATGTCCTGACATATGGTGAACAGCACCTTAAGCCTTGGGGATCACCACTGAATAGAAGGGGACTACTTCGAAACATAGGTGTTGTGAGCTACTATATCAAAGGCTATATCTGTTTAAATACGTAAATTAAAATGATAGAAGATTTCACTGAAACTGACAAATCAGTAACAATTTTCACTTCACATGCATAGGTCTGGAGCTGTTTCATTGAGACACCATATAATACAGTTAACTGGTTTACATCATACTGTATAGTATATAATCTCTTAACACACTTCGCATAAGCAAGTAACATTTTAAATTAACTTGCATTTCTAAAGACAGTTTTCTGTCACTCTTGATTTCAGGAGAATTAGTCACAAGAGTTAGTTGCTCCTGAGCAGGAGTGGTCTGTCAGAGACAAGGTCTTGATTCTGATACTATAATAGTAATTCATTAACCTATTGAACTTCTTTGGACACATATACCTCTTTTTTTCCATACATGTCTGTTTTGGTCTAAACTAAAATCTCACTGTCTCCCCAAGAGTCATGCTTAGCTACCACCACAAAGTAACATGTCCAAAACTCTTGATTTTTCCTTTGACCTCTGAGAGCTGTCTATGATCCTGATTATGGTGGATCCCATGCCCATTTGGCTTGTTTCCCTGGCCGGCAACTCTGGCTTAGACCAAGTCT